CTGGCTTCACTTGGAATATCTAATTGGCGCCACGTAGCGAAAAGAAGAAACGACTGGCGCGCTGTTGTTAACTCGGCTATAATCGCGTAAGCGGTATCTACGCCAATCAAGAAGAAGAAGAATCTAACACACACGAAACGTATTTTCAATTATCGATTGTCACGCGCTCGTAGAGTCATAGAAAATTCCTTTGGTATACTGACTGCTCGGTGGAGAATTTTGAAAACAACGATTCAATGTAATCCGGAAAATTGTGAAAAAATTGTGTTGGCTTGCATAGCCTTACACAATTTTATAATGTTGAACGATCACAATCGCTGGTATTGTCCGGAGAACTATGTAGATCGAGTTGAAGGACATAACATTGTTCATCCCGGTGAGTGGCGCCGCGAAAATGAAGAAAACTCTTTACGACCAATGCGAACTTCGGTGCGTAGAGGTCCTTCTACTGCGTTTAACTTACGCGAAAGACTTGCCAACTATTTTATAAATGAAGGATCTGTACCATTTCAGAACAATTTAGACTCTATTATAGGAGGACCATATGCTCCTGGAGGACCTTATTAGAAATAATTACCATTTTTTTTAATTCATGTGCTCATTTATTTCATTTCTTTTTAATTGAAAACAAAATTATTTTCATAACAAATTCATTACAAAATATAAGTAAAACTAAAATAATAATTTAAAAATAAATAATTCATAAGTTTTTATTCATTATTGCCTTTGTATTTCAAACGCAACTTGCATCATCTTCTCCATTGCCACAGCTTGCTTTTCTTCGGCCATTTTATTTAAAATGAACGTCATTAGATTGCTGAACGCCTGCACAGCCGGGTTTGCTGATTGTTGTTGTTGGGTTTGCTGGTTTGTGTGTACTGTCGACAATTTGTTCTTAAAAAGGTCGGTGGCTTCAATCATTTTTTGGTCAACTTCGGTAGGAGTTGACGGATTGGCAGAGTGCCCTCGCTTTCTACCTTTTTTGAAAGCCTCCTGCGTAGAGCATGACGATGAGGGAAGCGAGGTTGATGTGGAAGAAGGAGACGGGGATGGTACGCTTTGCATCACAGGGAAAGGAGGCGGTGGCGACGGCAGCGATATTGTTATTAGGCTTAATGGTGCCCATAACGGCGATGGCACTTCCACCTCCTGCGCATGTGGCTGCAATTGCGTCCCTTCAGCTGCTGATTGCAATTCACACTGATCAGTAACAGCTGTTTCACAAATATTTTGTGAGAATCTAATCCTGTAAATTTAAGTTTTTATTAAAAATAGAAGTATGTACATATGTATATTCAATTAATATACTAAAACTTACGGTCGTGGTAAAATATGTGGCTTAAGAAACTTCATTGCCTCCAACAAATGCCACTGCCTTTGGAATTCCATCCCGCTGCCAGAGGGGGCGTTAACCTTCCGCACTTCCCTCCCATACCGGTCCCGAAGTGTCATCCATCTACGGCGACACATTTCTCCTTTATAAATATAATTAATTATTATTAAAAACATAAATAGTTGTAAATAACAAAGCAACTTACCACTTGCATTCAACTCCCTCCCGATTTCAGCCCACAATGCATCTTTTCTCGATTGCAGTAGTATGGACTGCTCTTAGTATATATTTACTTCTAGCCTCAACTACAGTTATTAATTTCTCATCGTCCATAATGTCTTAGTTTCCACACACATACTTATTTTATAGCCGAAACAATTCTTTCAATACAATAAACTTTTCATTTGACGTTTGTTTTAATGGCGATTGTTTACATTTCAACAATGTTGCCATTGCTCAATACGCATATATAGTTTTGAGTACATCTATATTTTCAATTACAATTTTTTATAATATAAAATATCAAAACTGAAAACAAACTACCAAAAATAGTTTATATATTTACAAATAATAGCATTCGACTCTGATTTTGAGTTATTTTAAGAAAATTTCAAATCTATTGAACTGATAGAATTATAGAAGTATATATATGTTGGCAACCCTGGGTTGTGAGAGAGCAATCACCTGACACAATTAGACGGCAAAAACCAAAATGCTGTAGATTCTCACGTCATCTTCACGTCAAAGAGAGAAGGGAGTAGCGTTTTTGACTGTGCACTTACATTGCGCGCCCATAAGATAGGTCGTATCAGCTGACACGACCCACGATTCCACGTTCCATCTGCTATAAGCTATTTCACATTTTTTTGCAAATCATAATACCATCTCTTTTCTATGGCCCTACGAACAGACCTTACTCAGCAGCAGAGTATGTTCCTTTCCCTGAGCCGCTGTGCGTTCTGAGAACCGTTAGCGACATCGTGTCGCCATTCAAAAATGTACATGCATGCACAATGGTCCAACTAACCATTCTATGTCACACATATACATCCCACTGTATACCATTCTACGACACGGATGTCCTAACATGTCACACGTCCTCGTGTGTTAGATCTAGGACAAGATTTTCTCAGTTATCGTCAAATTTTATTAACCATTTACTTCATTAACTTTTATTTATAAAAAGTTTAAATTTTTATAAAAAACAATCAAATTTGTTTCACAATACCATCACATAAACTTTTTCATAACATTTTCTTTTAAATAAAACTTAACAATTCTTCTTTTCTATAATTTAAATTTTGATGTGTAGTTATTCTTACCGATCCCCGTCAAAAAAAATCCTTCTGTTATGGTGCGATCATCACTGACCACAGCATGTCCTTCTACTATGGTGCGGTCAATTGACCCCCGCCATAACAATTCCATCTGTTATGGTGCGGTCTCTACATCCCTTCTTGGGGTTCTAAGGCAACTTTATTTCCATTTCTCATTTGAGAGTCAGATGCATCTCCTCTGGAGTCATATAATTTTTCATCAATTTCTTTACTTAATTCTCTATTGGGCAATGCCCTCAAAAACTCATGTGCAAGTTCTTTTGCTTATTAAAGACTTTGACTTGCCCTACTCGCGCCTGTAGCAATTAAGTGTAGCTGAATCTTTTGGGAGGAACAAAATTCACGGAATCCTGAGCTTGCAAAATTACGACCCTGATCCGCTATAATGCGTATAGGCACACCAAACAAGCACACGACGGCTTTAACAGCTTGATTGAACATTCAGTATCATTCATCAATTAATTTAAGGTGTGATGTAAATAAACAAATTTCGTGAACGCATCTACCAAGCCAATTACGTATTCCTTTAGGTCATTCATCTTTCCTGTTATGTCTACTTATATGCACTGTGTGCCACGGGATGTCTATCTTAGGAATCGTATGTAATTCAGATTGAATTTTTCCAACTGGTGGCTTTGCTAATTTGCAAGTAATGCAATTTTTAACAAATCTACGAAGATACTTTGACATATTTTCAAACCAATAAAATCCATAGACTTTGTCCAATGTTTTCTCCCAACCTAGATACATAATATATTCACGAACGTTATTAATCACTGCCCATCTAAGTGCCCTAGGGATTACAGGCAAACATTTAGTCTTACCATTTCGTTGTATCTTTCTATATAAAGCTCTTTTCCATAATTCATAGGTTTTTAATAAATGTTCTGGCAATTTGTTATTTTGAACTTAGCTAATATATCTACTTCCTCAGGATCACGTTGTTGTTCAGAAATCAACCAGTTGTCAGTTACTTCAGTCAAATTAATGCGTTTTTCTGGAATTTTATTCTGATGATTATTTTTTATCGGACACTGGATTCCGAGATAAACAGTCTACATGCGCCATACGATCAGCCTTCCTATATTCTATGTCAAAGTCAAACGATTGTAAAAATGCCCACCACCTATGTACCCTCGGCGTTAAGTCTAGCTTTGTGCGACTATCCTTTAAGGAATTACAATCCGTATATACGACAAATTTACGTCCTTGCTAGTAGTGGCGGAAGTGTCTGATACCATTGACTACAGCTAGCGTTTCTAACTCGTACGAATGATATTTTGACTCAGCAGGGGATGTGCATTTACTATAATATTCTACCACATGGAGTTTATCATTAATTTTATGCAACAATATAGCACCATAGCCAGCGGTGGATTTATCAGCAGGCTGAGTAGGCTGGAGCCTAAAGCGGCAGATTTTAGGGGGCGGCAAATTTGGCCCAAACATTTTATTTTGTCTTTCAGAAATTAAATAAAATTGTATACCTACACAAAGAGATTTGACCCATTTATTAAATTAAATACGTATATTATATTTAACGTGTAATATGTTTCAAAATTTAAATATTTACTACTAGGTATGAATGTATTTGGGTACTTAGTTGTTTTTGCGTTGCTGCGCGGGAACGAATGATATGACCGTTCGCTAAGAGTGTCTGGC